GGTGGAATGGGATGAGCTTTAAGATTCCTCCATGATTCTGTGAGGCTCAGCTGGGAGCTCAGCACCTCAGCAGCCCGGCCAGACCCCTGCCCAGACCCCTGTGTGTCTCACCACCCAGGACAGGTTCCAGGCTGGGGCTCCTCACCTGTAGTTGCCGCTGAGCACCACCATGCAATCCACCAGCAGGAACTTCTCCTTCAGGTGCCCCTTGAAGGACATCCCGGTGCGGCAGTAGTAGGTCGGGCCAGACACTGTCCTCACCCTCAGGAACTGCAAGGCAGACAGACCCTGAGGCAGATGGAACCTCATTCCCTCCCCTTTCCCTTCTCCTTTAGCCCTTCCTGCCACTGGGTTTGGCCTCCAGTGGTTCTGCCTGCAGACACGGGCCTGGACCAAGCCCTATATCCATGTGTGCTCAGCCTCCACCCCGTGCTCTGCCCACAGTCCTGGCCTTCTTCATACTGCTCCCTCCCCAGGCTTGGGGCTGTTTTCCCCTCTCCCAGGTGTCTCCTGGGATTCCAGCCCCATGTGTGCCAGGACACGGTCCCTGAGGACACGGCCCCTGCGGACACGGCCCCTGAGGACACGGCTCGGGCAGCTCTGTGCTCACCTCCACGTAGTTGAGGTTGACTCTGCACTTGGCAGCTGTGTCCAGGAAGAGCTGGGAGTTCATCTCGTCCAGCAGGATGTAGACAGGCACCCTGCGCGCCGCCGCGTCCAGCACCTCGGACAGCAGGTCCACGTCCGTGAACACGTCCATGACGATGGCCACCACCTGGGCGAGGGGTGAAGGACACATCAACCACTTGTGCTGCCTCCAGGACCATCCCCAACACCTCACACCCCAGAGCTGCTCCATCCCAACCTCCTGCTGGTCCAGGAACTGTCATTCCAGTTTCCGTCTGGAATAGGAACTGTCGTTCCAGCTTCCTTCTGGCACAGGAAACATCCCAGTTCAAGGTTCCTTTAACCACTGTGGGCCCCAGAACTGGAACCAGAATTTCTGTGCAGGAAGCTTCTGTGCATGAGGGTGAGGGAAAATCTCAGTGCCCCTGACTGACTCATCAGTCTGATGATCCTGTGATTTTTCTGGCAATGTGACCACACTGGGTGGTGTATGGAGCTCGTTCCCCCATCCAACACCCCAGGCCTGGCCCATGTTCAGGCAGACACTGTCCAGTTCATCCATGTGCAGATAATGTGGGAAGCAGCTCCACAGCTCTACCTCCCTGTCCTTCCCAACTCCTATCCGTGAGCATAAATCCTTGATGGAAAGGGTGTAAGGAAGAAGGAGCCAAACTCTTCTTCATGGTGCCCAGGGAGAGACACAAACTGAAACACAGGAAATTCCAGTGAAACGTGAGGAAAGCCTCTGTGACTGGAGGGGTTGGACACGGGAACAGGCTGTCCAGGAAGGTTTGGAGTCTCCACCTCTGGAGATGCTCAAGGACACATCCTGAGTGACCCTGCCCTGAGTGGGGGGACTGGGCTGGGCTGGCCCCAGAGGCCCCTTCCAACCTCAGCTGCTCTGGGAGTCTGAACTCTTGGTGTGTTTTAGCAAGGCCTTGCACACCATGCCAGGAGAGCAAGGCAGAGAGGCTTTGGGGCAGTCAGTGGTGGGTATGGAACCATCCTGACCCTCAGCCAGGTCCTGGGAACAAAGCAAAGGGAGTTGGTAGAGGACCTGGTAGTGTCCAGCCTGAAGGAGAGAGAAGCTCCAAGGAGATTTCAGAGCCCCTTCCAGTGCCTCAAGGGGCTCCAGAAGAGCTGCAGAGGGACCTGGGCCAAGGGATGGAGGGACAGGACACAGGGAATGGCTTCCCACTGCCAGAGCAGAGGTCAGGTAGGATATTGGGAAGGAATTCCTCCCTGGGAGGTGCTGAGGCTCTGGCACAGGTTGCCCAGAGCAGCTGTGGCTGCTCCATCCCTGGGAGTGTTCCAGGCCAGGTTGGATGGAGTTGGAGCCACCTGGGCTGGTGGGAGATGTCCGTGCCCAGGGCAGAGGTGGCACTGGGTGGGATTTAAGGTCCTTCCAACCCTCAGGTAGGATATTGGGAAGGAATTCCTCCCTGGGAGGTGCTGAGGCTCTGGCACAGGTTGCCCAGAGCAGCTGTGGCTGCTCCATCCCTGGGAGTGTTCCAGGCCAGGTTGGATGGAGTTGGAGCCACCTGGGCTGGTGGGAGATGTCCGTGCCCAGGGCAGAGGTGGCACTGGGTGGGATTTAAGGTCCTTCCAACCCAACTCATCCCATGATTCTCCATCCTGCCACATCTGTGCACACCTGAGTTTCACCTCTGCCCTGGCTAGGCTGTCCCTGCCTCACCTGCTGAGCTGCTCGGATCATCCTGCGAGCCTCCTCCTTGATGCTGGGATTGTCTGGGGGTGGAGGCTGCACCAGGGTGGTCACCTCTGTCCCCCTGAACCCAAAGACCATCGGCCAGCCCAGGTCGAGCTCAGGGACAGCGAGGTCTGAGTTCATGGGCCAGTAAGTCCCGGAGGATCCGTCCATGTCGTTGTCCCCAGAGGTGTCCGTGCTGCCCTCCTGGTTGGCATACTGGGGCTTCTGGAGGTTCTGGACAATGTGTTCCACCTCGGATCCACAGAGGAAATCAGGGACTGCCTCCTCAGCCAGGAAGCGCTGGTAGCTCTCCTTGCCTTCCTCCGTCAGCACGTCCAGCGCCAGGCGGTAATACTCCTTGTAGTGGGGGGGAAGGTAGTTGGGGTCCAGGGGGTTGTCCCCCTGCGAGGAGCTCTGGGACCGACGAGCCATGAGGGCAGGGAGAGCTGTG